TCTTCTGGGCCGGGTCATAGGCGGCCCCTTCTGTGTCCTCACAGGGCACAGGGCGGAGGGCAAGCTCCGTCCTGAGTCTTACGAGGACTCTGACCCCATCGTGGGGCCACACGCGTGTGACGTCATTAACCCCGATCACCTCCCAAGGCCTCACCTCCTAATCCTGTCCCACTGGGGGGTTAGGGCCTCCACATGTGGATTCGGGGGGACACGCACACTGAGTCCATCCCATGTGGTTTATGAAGTCAGCCCCACCTTAGGGGCGTTGGCCTTTGTGTCCTGTCCCTGAGGACAGGAGGAGGGAATGGGAGGAAACGGCCCCGGTGTGTCACTGGGATATGTGACAGGTCGGGTGTGGCACATGGTGTGTGTGGGTCTCGCTCTGTTGCCCAGGCTGGGGAGTAACCTGTGGTTCTGTGTTTGGCTGGACTGTCGCCGGGGTGGGGGGCGGCTTTCCCAGCTGAGCCTGGGACCTTCCTGCCGTCTGCAGGAACCGCAGGGCATCTCAGGGGCCAGGTGAGAGCACCACTTACCTACAGGTGCTTCTGCATCTTCCCGGGACAGGGGTCCCTCACCCCGGGGGCATCTGGGCAGTTCTTGCACCCGCCTGCTCTCTGGTCAGGCTGCAGACTGTCCTCTCCGTAGACCCGCCCACTTGGGCATCCTCGCACACCCGACCTTGGCCCATCCTTACACAGGGTACCAGAGAGGGCCCCGTGCGTGAGCTTCGTGTTGAGTTTGGGGACTTGTGCCGCTGACAGTGATGCGGGGAGGGGTCTCCCCGTCCCTCGGGGTGGGCATCTGTCTGTCCTCTGTCTCATCTGAGCTGTCATGTTGTCATGACGACGTGCGAGCAAGGTTGGTTTTCTGATTCTTCGTCTTCGTGGAAGAGTTGACCCCAGAATCGTGGAGTCTGGGGTGTGGCGAGTGGCTGTCTCACGCTGGGTTGTGTTTCCTCTTGTGTTTCCCACACCAACACCCCTGCCTTCACATCGGGGGTTACTCACAGGTGTCGGCAGATTCTCTGATGAGCCCGCCTTGAATCGGGGGCCAACCTGGTCTCGGTCCCGAAAGCGTCTTGGAGGAGATGGTGCTGTTCTCACCTTGTCCACTCGTCTGGGTTCGGCACCGTGTCTCAGCCCGCGGGCCCCAGGCTTTCTTGCTGCTGCTGCAGATTCTCCCCTCTCGGGGGTTGACCCCTGTCCCTCGCACGCTGCGGCGGTTTCTCGGGAAGGGCCGGGACGGAGCCCCTCTCTTGACCGTGAGCACTGGGCAGGCGTTCCCGGCCAGCACAGGTCCTTCAGGATCCAGGGCTGTGCCCGGGCCAGGTGCCCAGCTTTCCCTGGACAGCCGTCGGACGCCCTTTACCCTCCCCGTCCTGCAGCGATGTGGCGACCCGCCTCCCCATTTCTGCAGATTCTGAGATCTTCACACTCAGGTTTCACGTTAGGTTTCCTGCATTTTGCTCCTGGGCGGGAACAGCCTGGTTTCTTTCTCCTTGTGGAGTAGCCCGAAACGTCCAGACGATCCCCAAATTCCAAGAACCGAGCGTCCGGCGTTGGTGGCCACGTCGGGCCCCATGCGGGCTCTCCTCTCTTGGTAATAAGTCGTGAGCATCTCCCCTGGTCAGTGGGTTTCCATCCGGGGCGTCGTGTTGAAAGGCTGTGAGGGCGTCGTGGATCGGAGGTGACGTGGCCAGTGCGGGTGTAGCTGGATGTGGGCAGACCCTGCCCCCAGCATCTCAGCCGTGGATCAGTGGCCTCCGTGTGTGTGTGTTGCTGTGGTTCTGTGCCCCGACCCCGGCCCCGTGTCCCCAGCCTCAGGGGTCCCCGTTCACCTGCACAGCATCAGCCTGTGGGTCACCCTTCCCTTGACCACACGCCTGTCCCGGGACCCTGTCATTACTTCGCCTCTGGGGGAGGCAGAGGTGGGGAGGCTCCTCCGGATTCTTCTCTGGATTGTCTTGAACCTGGGTCACCTGGGGAGTGGGCTCGGCCCTGCTGTCTTGGTTGACAACCTGATCCAGACACCGGCCCACTCCCCTGAAGTATGGGGGCCAGGGGAGGCCCAGGCAGGTCTGGGGTCCGAACCCCTGTGACCCGGCTCAGACCTGGGTCACAGGCCTGTGGGTGTGGCCAGGGTGCACAGAGGTTTTCCAGCCTCTGTTGGGGGTGAGCAGACCCACCCCCTTCCCCTGGAAGGAAAGGGGGCGTCAAGGCCGCGATGGCTTCTCTTGGTAAAACATGCAGATACGGATCCCCAGACCCGGGACACTGCCTCCTCCCACCCCTGCAGGTTCACCCGGACCCTGGCATATTGGGTGACCCCACACCGCCCACGCCTGCACATGGGAGGGCCCCGACACCCCCGCACGTCCGTGGACACATACAGCCTGGGCAGCGACCCCACTGAGTTCATTTGCATCCCCTGCTACTCCACAGGGTTGCTGGCTCACAGCCTGGTGCTCACACCACCCACTGGGTGCACAGGTTTGCTTAGGTCCCGCCCCTCTGCCTGAGCCCCGCCCACTTCTCTGAGCGCCAGTTTCCTCCCATCAGAGCTCTACCAAGTCCTGAGCCCCGCCCCTCCTCTGGACCCACCCTGGCTCTAAGCCTCACCCTTCCACCTGAGCCCCGCCCACTTCTCTGAGTTCTAAGTCCCGAGCCCCGCCCACACCCGGCCCCACCCACACTGGCCCCGCCCCTCCTCTGGGTCCATCCCTGTATAAGCCCCGCCCTCTCCCTGAGCCCTGCCCCCAGGGATGGGCAGGCCTTCGCCTTCCCTGGAGACCCGACGCCCCGGAACCCCAGGAGAAGGACAGAGGAGGACCACAGCCACCAGCGCGTCCCCAACCTCGGCGTCCGACTCCTGCTCGGCCAGTTCTGCAGGATCCTGGCAGAGCGTGAGTGCCCAGCCGGCGCCGTAGTGAGGAGGGCCGAGGGGATTCCTGGGGGGCAGGGCGCTCCCCCGTCCCCGAGCCTCTGTGTCCCCGCACGGCGTCCTCGCCGCTGTGAGCGTGGGGAGGGGGCACAGGTGGGCTCCTGGGGGGTCCCCTCACCTGTCTCCATCCAGGTACCCTGTTGCTGCAGGCTCGCCCACCTGTGGGACTCCATCCCCGTGGGTGTGCAGGCCTTTGGGGAGGGGACGCGCAGCCTGTCGACAACCCGTTGCCGCCCCCAAGGGGTCTGTGGGGAGGCGAGGGGGGCGGGGCGTGAGAGGCAGGCGTCCTCAGAACAGGGAGCGTCCTCGGTGAGGGGGAGCAGCAGCCCTGCTGTGCCACCGTGGCTGACCACTCCTGCCACTGCAGAGCTGCCCGCAGGGACGAGCTCCACCTGGACCCCCTGGCCGGCACCTCCGTGGTCGGCGGGGAACCCAGAACCGTCTGCAGGGTCCCCAGTCCAGCAGGTGAGGCGTCCCCTGCGTTGTGGGTACTTGGGGGGCAGCGAGGGAGCAGGTGGGACTCTGCAGCCGCTGGGGTCTCCCAGCTGAGACCTGAGCCCAGTGTGGGGATGGGAGGGGCCCCTGTGCAGTCAGCACCAGGGATCCAGGCCCTGGTCCCAGTGACCCGGGGCCACTGTATGCACCATCACCAGTGGCTGGCTGGTTGTCAGGTGGCCCAGGCCCCGCTGAGCCACCCCAGGTGCTCTGATACCCCAGGTGTGGACTGGGGCTCACTCGGGAGCCTCAGGCGTGCACCCAGGTTCACGCGGCTCAGACCACAGGGTCGGGGGTGCCCTGGGGTCTGGCGTCCCTCCTGACTCCGGGCTGGGGCAGTGCTGCCAGAGCCCCGGTGAGTATGGGCCTGGGACGGCCCTTTAGGAGCAGAGGTGCCCCTCTCCGGGGCACCTTGTGCAGACCCTGCGTGGTCAGTGCACCAGCCCGGGAGGGGGCTCCGGGCGGGAGTGCGGCTGGCCTTGCCCCCAGCCGTCTTCACGGCCCCAACAGCCACGGCAGGTGAGGGTCCCCCGTCTGCTTTCTGGGGACTTGCCAAACTGTCCTTGAACTGACTGGGAACCACCCTGTGGGCGGCCAGGCCGACCTCTGGCCCTGTATTTGTCGGTCCTGGGCCCTAACGTTTATGCATCCGTCCACGTGTCCTGAGCACCTGTCCTGTCTGTCCGTGGGGCGGGTCTGACTGAAGGCGAGCCACACTGCTGGAGCTCATGTTGACAGTTCCTCCTCCATCACCAGGGGCCCAGGGGCCAGCGTGTGCCAATGACCCAGGCCTCGGGGCCCCCAGGCTGCGGGGCGGGTGACGGCGGCCCCTGCCCAGGACAGGGCTGTGTGACCCGCCTGCCCCCAGCCTCCTCAGTGGCCAGTTGCCGTGCCCGGCTGGGAAGGCAGGTGCCAGAGTCGGCCCTGCTCCTGTCCGTGGGGCTCGGCACGTGGTGCCTGCGGCCCTGCGTGGCCCCACGTGGTCTGGCTATGCGGGGGGCCGGCTCCTCTCACCGCCGGCCCTGCCGTGGGCGCGTCTTCTGTCCAGCGCCGCGGGCCCAGCTGCAGAGTGGACAGACTCATTCCCTGAGGTCTGCTCAGCGCCCAGACCTTAGACGACCTGTTCCTGGCCTGGGCAGGGGGCTCGTTGGCCACCTCCCCCTGGACACGTGGGCCGCGCCCTCCCTGTAAGTCTCAGGTTGGTGCCGACTCAAACGGGCGGACCCGGGGGTGGCCCGAGCGGCATGGAGGGTGGGTGTCGGGGCCTCCCCGTGGTGTCTGCAGGGAAGGCTCGCACCCCCTCACGCACAGGTCAGAAGCGACCGTGGGCGAGAGTGGCCATCGGGTGGTGTCAGCCCCACCACCGTGGCCAGAGGGTCAGGCTGTGGGAGCCCCGGGGCCCAGGACCTGGGACCTGCGCCTGCGGCTCCTTGCCCTGAGGGCCTCCACACCCTGCGGTCTCCCCACAGTGACACCACCGTCTGTCCCCACGTCCCTCTGTGACCTGAGTTCGGAATCCCCAGCCGCTGTGTCCGTTTTTGCCCCAAGGTGAGCCTGGGGCTGAAAATCTTTAAATTCTTTATTTGAAAATACAAACGTGATCTCATAAAACGTTTTTAAACTGCTCTGCACGGCAAATAAAACTCAACTTTACATATGCTGTACATTTACACAAAAACAATAAAAGATATGCTGATGTGGGCGCTCCCTCTGGGGGAGAAGCTGCGGCCGGGACAGTGGCCCCTGCGGGGGCGCCCACGGGATGGAGGCGCAGGGGCTCCTGGAATGTTCCTGACGACCACACCCCTCCCCGAAGTCAGCGCACATCCACGACCGCAGGCAGATCTTCTGGGGCGGCGCCTGGTTGCCGCTCAGCCAGACGACGCGAGCCTGCAAACACCTACACTTGGAAGCTGGACAGTGGGGCCAAGGTCACCCTGACCGCTGGGGACGCTGGGACGCGTGCGTCCTCACCGCCAGGCTGGGCCTGGGGCTCTCGCACGCGCGTCAGCTCCTCCAGGGCGGTGGGGACCCACCTCAGTGACCGTGACCACCTCTGGCCAGCTTCTGTGCTGAATAAATAAGGTCTCTCCATACAAACGCACTTCACTGTCTGTAAAAGGGCTCAACAAGCACACAGTTCTGCTCCTGAGGCAGAGGCCGCGTTCACGCCCCACGGAGGCCACAGGTCACGAGGGCGGCAGGTCGTCACCCCCGTGCTCGTACTCATATAGCTCGACGGCGCCCAGGCCGGTTGGCACCTCGAAGAAGGGCCTCTGGGCCAGCGGAGACCGCAGCGCGCTCAGCTTCTGGTCCACGGGGCTGAGCTCCGCCTCGTACCTGCAGGGAGGGGCTTGGTGAGGATGCGGGCGGGCGCGCGCCCCACCTGTGCTCCCCTACGGCCAGAGGTGCTGCTGGCAGCCCCCCGACGCGTGAGCGCAGGACTGCCACGCCGACGGCCTCCTTGCTGAGTCCTGCCCGCGGGGAAAACAGGCACGTCCTCCACCCAAACTCCTCCAGAGGGTGGGTGGAGGCACCCTCACTGTTGCAGGAGGCCAGCGTGACCCCGGTGCCAAAGCAGGGCACAGTGTCACAAGAAGTGCAAGTAATCTCTGCAGCACAGTCCAAGGACAAACGAGAAGGTCCACGAACCGTGACCAGGTTTGTCACGGGAAGGCAAGGCCGGCTCAACTACAAGAACCTCGCCGTATCTGTATCGGCAGACGACAGGCGAGGAGCCATCTGGCCAAGGCACCTGACAAAGGGCAGGATTCAGAGTCTCTGCGGACGGCAGTGAAGCGGGGTGTCCGCAGGCCGGGGAAGCATGTGGGCGGAAACATCCCACAGCAGCGTCACGCTTCCCGGGCAGCGGGGGACTCCACACCTGACGTGGATCAAGGCCAGGCCGTCTCCCTTCACCACTTTCCTTCAGCATCGTGCTGGGTGGTGGAGGAACCGCAACGAGGGGAATAAACCGTATTTCTCTACATCACCAGTGAACTGCTGGGACGGAGACTTTAGCAGGACCTTTCCAACACCAAAAACGATGACGCACTCAAGTACAAATCTCACAAAATACGCGTAAGATCCATACACTGGAAATTACAAGACACTGGCAGGAGAAATCAGAGACCTAAATAAACGGAAAGAGTGCTTTGTGATCAGGAAACTCGATGTCACTAAGGTGTCGCTGTACCCAGAGCGCTCGTTCCTTCCTCAGAGTCTCAGCTTAATATTGTGTAGAGACAAGCTTGTTCCTAAGCGTCCACATCAAAACAAAGGAACCAGAGCAGCCAGCACCACGCTGAAGGGTGCAGGGTCTCACCACGCTGAGGCCGGGTTACCTCGGAGCTGCAGGAAGCACAGCCGGGGGTGGGGCGGCAAGAGGCCAGCCACACCGGTCACGGGACAGACGGTCCCGAGACCAGCTCACAGGTGGTCACCCGGTCACGGTGCCAAGTCTCACCATGTAGAGACCCGGCTCAGCCCAGTAAACGTTCCCCAGGCTCTTCCCGGACAGTCAGGCCGACTCTGTATGATTCACACAGAAGCCAGAGCAACTGGAGTGACCCAGACGATTCTGGGCAAGACCAGAGTCGGAGGCCTCGCTACGTGAGTCCACTGCCCCCACCCCGAGGCCACGGCAGGCGAGACGGCGTTGCACTGCTGGCTGGACAGATGAGCGTCAGCAGAACCGAAGGAGCTCACAGACAGACCCCACAGACACGGTCAACTGATTCTCCACAGAGATGCTGACCTGGGGGTCTTGCGTTAAACTGGACATCCACGTGCACAAAGAAATAACCCGGACCAGACCCCATGCCCCGCAGGGGAGGTCACTCAGAGCAGACCACAGACCCAGCGTGAAGTGGGGCTTTGGATTAGGCAATCCTTTCTTACACGCGACACCAAAGCCCAGCCCGTAAAGACAAAGTGACAAATGGCAGTTCATCAAAGTTCACCGCGTCTCCTCCGTGACACACAAGGTTAGGAGAAGGAAGAGATACACCACCAACCGCTGGGAAATACAAGTCCCCTCCCTCCGGAAGGACTTGTATCCAGAGGTAAAGGACCCCTGAGACTCGATCAGAAGGAAACAAGTCACCCACGATGGGGAACAGACAGAAGACACAGCCATTCACCAGAAAAGGGCAACAAGGACACGAACAGCTAAAGCCAGGGTGCAATCCTGCTGCACACGTCCGAGTGGCTACAATTTAAAAAACAAGCCAACCGTAACCACGGCAGAGCCGGCGAGGCTGTGCAGCCGCAGGAACGCACGCCCAACGCTGGCGGGGACGCAAAGTGGCGCAGACACGTGGGAAGATGGGTGGGCGGCTCGTGGAGGTAAAGGTGCGTCTGTCTACCAGGTGACCCGGAACCCCCCGCCCAGGTTCTGAGCCAGGAGACGAGCGCTTACAGCCCCACAAATCCAGCTCGCACAGCTCGACACCAGGGCCGGCCACACGTGCCCAGGCCCGAAGCAACGGACACCAGCAAGCCAACGTCCGTCGCTGCTGAGGACGCGGCCAGGTGTGAAGGGGCCCAGCTCCTGACGCGCCCAGGGACCCGCAGGACTCTCGGAGGCCTCGTGCTGAGAGCAAAGGCGGGCATGCAGGGGCTGTGGGGTTCCACCTCTGTGACCTTCTGGAGAAGGACCACCTGGACCAAAGACAAGGCCTAAGGGTGGGCAGGATCTGGGGTGACGGGCGTGCTCACCCTCCTGCCCACTCGGAACCCCCTCAGGATGGTTCCCTGGGCAGGCAGAGCTGCTGTCAGCAAACTGAAGCCCCCCCTCAGAGGCAGAGGGTGACCCTCAGGCCCTGGGCTCCACCGCCACCCCATGCCAACCCCGGCCCCGGTGCCGAGCAGCCCCGTCAGGGGAAGAGGCAGGTCGGGAGGCTCTGGGCGGGGGTCTGAGCCCGCCAGGGACCCAGGCATGAACACTGGACCCCACTCCTCTACCGCAAGGCTGCTTTCAAGCCTGAGGACCAAGGCCCTGGGGGAGACGCCCAGGCCCCAGCCCCGCTCCCCTCAGCTGTCCACACCCGTCAGCCACGGGGGAGGAGGGACATCGTCGGCAGACGTGCCCACTGAGCTACAGCCATGCTCCCCAACGGGAGACTCCACGAAGGGCTGCCGTGCCGGCTCCCCCGGCCGCCCCTCCGCAGGGGTGGGGTCTGCGCCCCTCCAGCCGCCTGTCGGTCCCACCCCCAGAGGGCGGAGGGAGCTCCGGAGACAGAACCCTGGGAGAGTCTGTGGGAGCCGGGGAAGGGACTACCTCAGCAGCAAGCCCTCCCGGGGTCAGGGCGGCGTGAGGCTGGGCGGTGGGGAGTGGGGCGGGGGTCTGAGGGCCCGGCCTCCGTGGGTCCCTGCCCTCCGGGGGGACAGTGGCACGTGGAGCGGGGCAGGCGTCTCTTGCCTGCGGCCTCAGGCCTCGGGCCGTGACATGGGGCGAGTGTCCCCGCGGCCCCCAGCAGGCCGTCCCCGTGTCCCGGGCCCCCATGCCCGCCGCACCCTTACCCGTCCTCCCAGGGCTCCCCCATGGCCTCCTCAGCCACCAGGATGTCGTACTCCTCAGCGGCGTACCTCTCCCAGTCAGACAGCTCGGGGCCCTCGCTCTCACTCTCCTGCGGGAAGCATGCGCGTCATGTCACACGGGGCGGGGGGGGACCCAGAGGTGCCCCCCTGCGCCCCCTCCACACCCCCCCCACTCACCCTGAACAGGGAGATCTGCTCTCTCTGCTCGTGGTCCAGGTACTTCTCGATGTTGAAGAAGGTGTCGAAGAAGACACTGGCCAGCTTGCACCTCTTCAGGTCGTGAAGCGTGATCCTCCCTGCGGGCGAGGGCGGCACGTGAGCACACGCGGCTCCCACGCACGCCCAGGAGCCACGTCACCTCCGTGTGTGCGTGCGTGCGTAACGACACGCCTTCGGACACGGCACCCCCTGCCACGAACCAGGCCACGGGTGTGGGCAGAAGCCCGGGGGGTGGAAGGGGTCGGGAGACAGGGCCCAACACAGCGAGGGCCGCCCGCCAGTCACCTGAGGGCGGGACCCAAGCTGCCCTGGACCCGCGGACACGGGGCAGGAACCCGCAGCCAGGGCAGGAAGGCCCAGGCCACCATGGCCCCCGGTGACGACACCTGAGACCAGGGTCCAGGACACGGATGCACGACACCGACTAAGGCGGGTGGGTTCGGGCAGACCCTCCCTTTGACCCTGGAAGGTGTCCTGAGCGCCCCCGGACAGACGCACCTGGTGGGCTCCCGGCTCCCACACCCACCAAACACAGCCCGGGGGCCCCAGCACAGGCCCTCTGAAGTGCCCACACCAGGGGTCCCGGGCTTGGTCTCCATGTGGGCCCTGAAGGAGCTCAGGCACAGGACCACGGGGCTGGGGACCACCTTCCCAACCCCCAAGGACCCACTCCCCCGGGGTGTCCCTGTGCCACTGGGGGACCCGCCCCCCGGCATCACCTTCGCTTTGGGGCTTCACCAGGTCCAGCATCTGGCACAGGCAGTCCTCAAAGGGCAGGGCCTCAATGGCCATGCTGTCCAGCCGGCGGCACTGCTCCTCATAGAAGTACTCCAGCTCGAACATGGACAGCACCCCGTCCCCATCCAGGTCCATGCAGCGGAACCAGTACTCAATGCTGTGACACCGGGCCACGGTCAGCATGGCCGCCCAGGACGGACCCCACCACCCGGGGACCCCTCCCCCAGTGCGAGCCCCGCCTGGGACAGACGCCACCACCCGGGGACCCCTCCCCTAGTGCGAGCCCTGCCTGTGTCTGACCTTGCCCAGGTGGATCACAGAGCGGGGGCGCCCTCGCTCAGGGGTGACCAGTAGCCCCTGCTTCTAAGTGTTCTAGCAAGTGGAGCAGAGCACAGCTGCCAGACACTCACCTGGTCGGGGTTTTCTTGTCTTCCTCGGAGATCAAGAACCAGACAAAGTCAGCGTAGCTTATTTTTCCTTCTTTCTGCACTTTTTTCCCTCTGGATTCAGGGTCGAATCGAGAGACAAAGACTGCGTCAGGGAGAAGCAGCCGGAAGAGGGGTCCCCGCCCACCTCCCCCGGGGCATGGGGAACCCTGCGTCTGGCCCAGTCCTGTACCCTTGGTTCCTACTCGGGACAAGGCCTGAGAGAGACCATGTGACCCGGAGGAGGGTCCCTGGGGCCCAGCTCCGGCAGGAGCAGCGGCCACGGTCACAGCCTCAGGTGCAGAGGCCTGTGTCCCCCGACTCACGACCTCGTGGCAAAGGCGTGTATGTGTCCCAAGCTACGACCCCGTGTGACAATGGCGTGCCCCTTACATGTGACCTCATGTGGGTGGCATGTGTCCCTGACTCGTGACCTCGTGTGACAAAGGTGTGTACGCGTGTCCCTAACCCACGACCTCACGTGACGATGGCACGCACTCCCAGAGCACGGCCACCTCACATCAGGAGCGAACGAGTCAGGCGCGGACGTGCGTGCGGAACGTCAGCCCAAACGCTGACGGGACCGGCTAGCTGAGCGGCGGGCCTCACCGCGTCACGGCTCCCGAGAAGATCCTCTCGATCATCTTGGTAGATATGGCTGCGAAAGAGGAAGCAGGCCGTGAGCCCCGCACGCTGCTCCCGGCCCCACGTCGCAGCCTCGCAGGCGGCTGGGCAGGCTCAGGTCTGAATGCCGAGACCCAAGCCCAGTCAGGCGGAACCCTCGGGACCCAATCTCCTGCTTCCGGCCTCCCTCGGGCGCTGCCCAGCACGTTCCAGTCCAGGACCTGAGCCCAGAGCAAAGCGAGAGTGAAGAGCTGGCCCAGGGGCCCCAAGACAGAGCGGGCGGTAAAGGCAGGACACACACGTCCGCCCTTGCAGAGGCTCTGCCTCCAAACACTCAGTTTGCTGTGATCAGCACACAAATGCATCCAACCCCCAGGCAACTAAGAGGATAAAAGAGTGAAAGACACCAAATTAGTTGGCTGGGGCGGCTTCAACAGCACATGTTATTTCTCCCCCAGTCCCGGAGGCTGGAGTCTGAGATCCAAGGGTCAGCAGGGCTGGTCCCTCCCGAGGCCTCTCCCCTGGGCGTGTAGACGGCCATCTCCTCCCTGGGTCCTCACAGGGTCGTCCTTCTGCGTGTGTCTTGATCTCTTCTTATAAGGACACCAGTGCTATGGGATCAGGACCCACCCTAGTGACCTCATTGTACCTTCGTCCCCTCTTTAAAGACCCCATGTCCAAATCCAGTCACATCCTGAGGTACCGGGGGTCAGGGCTTCATCGTGTAAATTTTGGGGACACTTTTCAGCCCATACCCAAGACCTATAACCACAAAAATGGAGAAATAAAGACAAAGTGTCTTTTCCCCCAAGTCATCCTGCCTCAATGAAAGTCACCTCTAATGGGAAATGATTGGATGGTATCAGAGGCTGAACAGTGTTTCTCAGAAAGACATGTCCACGTCTTCACTCCTGGGCTGTGAACGGGACCTTATATGGAAACAGGGTCCCTGCAGATGTGATGCAGTGAAGGGTCAGACATGAGGTCCTCCTGGAGGAGGGTGGCCCTACATCCCATGACAGGGTCCTTCTAAGACACAGAAGAGGAGAGACACAGACACAGAGGAGAAGCCTCAAGAAGACAGAGGCAGAGACGGGAGGGATGCGGCCACGAGCCCAGGGACGCCTGGAGCCCCCAGAAGCTGGAAGAGGCGGGAAGGACCCTCCCCTGGAGCCTCTGGAGGGAGCGCGGCCCTGGGACACCCTGACTTCAGACGTCTGGTCCCCAGGGCTGGGGGAGGATGGATTTTAAGCCCCGATGCAGTCATCCGATACAGCCGCCTCAGGAAGCCCCTCCTGGATGACAGTCCTTCATAAATGCGTTGATTCTGGACCTCTGGCCTCAGAACTGGGAGGATAATTTCCTGTTCTTTGAGGGTCCGCCCCACCCCCCGCCTGCCACGACGAGAGCCCCAGGGAACTGGACAGCTGACTCAGACTCACTGCCACGACCGGCAATCTGAGAACAGAACCTGCTCGTCCGTGGGACACGGGAAAGGTCAGCTCTGCCCCTCTGCCCGTTCCTTCCCATGACGTAAGGAGGACCCCTGCCGCTTCGCGTGCAGGACCTGGTAGGTTAGGAAGCGGCAGAGGGAAGGGGAGGGACGCATCACGGCGCTCACGTCCACAGCTGGGGGGCTGTGCCCGAAGCCACCCAGTGTCCTGTGCTGGCCGCAAGACCACGGTCCCCACAGTCAGTCGTGTCTCGAGGCCACAACGCCACCAGCCTTTCCTGGTGACAAAGCCCTAACACCAGCCCCACGAGATGCCCTGACGTGAGACCTCGACGGGGTGGACACAGGGATGTGGGCACCAGGAGAGAGTCGTGGGGACGGGCGGGGACAGGTGACCCCCGATCTGGGGAACCACATGCCAGCCACCACGGGTCTGCGCCTGGAGCTATTCCTGAGATCACAGAGGCAGTTGGAGTTGAGACCAGGCGTCGAATTTAGGGACGGAGTTGAGAGAGACCCACGTCCGCTCAGGCGTCCACACGCCAGCGTTCACGGCACCCTCGCGAGGCCAGTCAGAGAGATACAGCAAGCAGACGGTGCGCCGGGGAGCTCACGTCAGGGGACCGTCTGGGTCCCGTCGACCAAAGACAAAACATATGCCCGGAGGATTCAGAAATCCGGTCGTGCATGTGGGTACGTGAAAAATACGTTATGTGAAAACGTGCAGTCTTAAGAAAACTGTTTCTAAAACTAAGAACCCGCGGCGCACTTAAATTCTGGTCCACTCTGCACCCTGAACATGTGATTTCTTGTCACGGGAGGTGGGAGAGGATCATTTTCTCTTAGCATTTACACTGGATCCCCCCGCTGCTCCTGAGCTGTGCGGAGGCCAGAGTTCCCCTTTTCAGGCCCCTCTGCGACGAGAACGCACGGAAGCTCAGACAAACCCAGAAGCCAGAAGTGAAATCTCTCAGGGAACCGCGTCTCTGCTCCACCGCTCCCTCCCCTCAGGACGACTACCAGGGGGCCGCCGCTGTCCGACTGGCCGCGGCCCGAGAGGCCCCCGAGCTGGAATTTGGCCTTGGGACGGTGCCCCGAGCCGCCCACGCAGACAGGGCACCGTCCACTCCACGGACGGGCCGCTCGAGGCCCCGACACAGAGCAGGAAGCCGCGGGAGGAGGGAGGGAGGGGAACGCTGCCCCACCTGCAGAACAGGTGTTTGCTCAGCTACGGGAACAGGTGCTGGGAGCTCAGGGCGGCACCCAGACTGGCCCACACTGGGGCTCATCAGGAGACCTGGCGTGAAATGACGGGTGGGGTGGCCCCCAAATACCTGAGGACAAATGGAGGGGAGGTGGGGCGGGGAGAGCGGGGGGGATGGACGGATGCGGCCTGTGGCAGCCACTACCTCTGCTCAGGACGGGGCTCCACGCCCCCCAGAGAGCGCCTCCACCAACGGCAGGACCTGTGCGTCCCGGTCCCCGCAGGTCCCGTGCTGTGACCTGCGTATGCCCCAGTCCCCATGCGTCCCGTGCTGTGACCTGCGTACGCACCGTTCCCCATACGTCCTGTGCTGTGACCTGCGTACGCCCCATCCCCCATGTGTCCCGTGCCGTGTCCCGTGTCCTCCCCGGTCCCCATGTGTCCTGTGCCGTGTCCCGTGTCCTCCCCGGTCCCCACACGTCCTGTGCCGTGTCCCGTGTCTGTCCCGGTCCCCGTGTGTCCCGTGCTGTGTCCCGTGTCTGTCCCGTTCCCATGCGTCCCACACTGTGTCCGGTGTCTGTCCCGGTCCCCATGCGTCCTGTGCCGTGTCCCGTGTCTGTACCGGTCCACGTGTGTCCTGTCCCGTGTCCACCCCGGTGCCTGCGGGTCCTGTGCCGTGTCCCGTGCCCACCCTGTTCCCCATGAATCTTGGGCCGTGTCCCGTGTCTGTCCCGGTCCCCGCAGGTTCCGTGCTGTGACCTGCGTACACCCCATTCCCCATACGTCCCGTGCTGTGTCCCGTGTCTGCCCCGTTCCCCACACGTCCTGTGCCGTGTCCCGTGTCCGCCCCCGTCCCCATGTGTCCTGTGCCGTGTCCCGTGTCTGCCCCGTTCCCTACGCGTCCTGTACTGTGTCCCGTGTCCACCCTGGTCCCCATGCGTCCTGTGCCGTGTCCCGTGTCTGCCCCGTTCCCCACGCGTCCTGTGCCGTGTCCCGTGTCTGCCCCGTTCCCCACGCGTCCTGTGCCGTGTCCCGTGTCCGCCCCGTTCCCCACGCGTCCTGTACTGTGTCCCGTGTCTGTCCCGTTCCCCACGCGTCCTGTGCCGTATCCCGTGTCCACCCTGGTCCCCATGCATCCTGTGCTGTGTCCCATGTCCGCCCCGGTCCCCATGCGTCCTGTGCCGTGTCCCGTGTCCGCCCTGGTCCCCAGGGTCCTGTGCTGTGTCCCTGTCTCCCGTGTGTCCTGTAGGAGGAGACCAGAGGCAGGACAAGGTTCAGGCCTCCAGGGTCAGGGGAGGCAGCCACGCTGGCCTCCCTGGGGACACAGGAGCCCGGCAGGGCAGCGCCCGCCCCAGTGCTGTGTCCCCGCCGCCCGCAGGCCGCGTCCTCACCGTGGTCATTGTGCCGGGCCAGGTCCTGCGCGTCAATGAGCAGGTCGTGGTCCGTGTCCAGCTCCCAGAACTTGCAGTAGATGACGTAGAAGTGCTCGTAGGAGAAGAACTCCGTCAGCTGGTTGATGTCCACCTCGTCTTCCAGGAGCGCCACGTTCTGCCAGGACACACCCAGAAAACCGCTGCCAGGAACCTCCGGCTGCAGCGTGGAGACGGGCCTCCCGCAGGAGGGACACCCCCCAGGAGTCTCACGTCATGAGGGCAGAGGGTCAGAGCTGGTGGAGACCTGCTTGAGGGCTGGGAGCCCAGCACCCAGGTCGGGGTGCGCCCGGTCAGGTCTGCGAGACTGCAGCATGGAGCAGCCCAAGCACGTACGCTCTCGTGGCCGGGGGCTCCTGATGCGAGCGGGTCAGCCCCGTGCTTGTTGACACACACACGTCCACAGAACCCGGGTGCACCGGGGCGGGGCCATGCCTCCGGGATGGATGAGGGGAAAGGAAGGGTACAAGACGAACGGAAGAAGAAAAACGGTGGGCGGGCGGATAAATGAAAGGCAGGAAAATGAATGGATGATGGACGAGTCGGGGGATGAGCGATGGATGACAGGTGGGTGGGGTAATGATGACAGGTGGGCAGATGAATGGGGTGGCCGCTGAGAAGCTGGGTGCTGGAGGGAGGGATGGAGGGAGGATGGGAGGGGGGAGGAGGGGGGGTGGTGAGGGATGGAGGGTGGGAGGGTGGACAGATGGATGACCTAGGAGTTGGTGTAGCGACGGGTTACTGGTGGGGGCTGGAGGGATGAACGAGAGCGTGGGTAGACAAAGAAGTGGATGATGGGTGGGGGATGGATGCAGGCACAGGTGATAGGTTGCTGGAGGAATGGGTAACGGCCGGGTAGATGGACAAGAAGGTGGACGACGGGTGGGCGGACTGGCTGGGAGAAACAGGTGATGCGTCAGTCGATGGAGGTACGGGTGACAGGCTGGTGGGTGCAGGGAGAGACGACGGGTGGGCGGAGGGGTGGGTGGACCGACGGATGACGTGTACGTGGGTAAAGATGCACTGCTGGCGTGTGGGTCGAGAAATGGATGACGCCGGGGAAGGGAGGGAGGGAGGCGGGGTGAGGTAACGAGGACGGCTGGGTAGACGCGTGCGCTGACCGCTGACAGGCTGGTGGAGGGATGGGGGATCGATGCGGGCCAGGTGTAGGGACGGGTGGATGGGTTGCGGTGGAACTTGGGGAGGACGGATGAGTGGGCGGGGGCATGCAGAAGGCCCTGTGTCCCCTAGGCCAGCCGCCACCCACCTGCAGGAACGTGCTCCTCCGGAGCTCTGCGCACGTGATCCTCCCAGACCAGGACCTGTTGACCGTGTAGAAGATCCTCTGTATGACCTGTAGGAGGAGGCCCGTCGGCTGAGCACCGGGACGTGGGGGGCTGGAGGCCCTGCACGTGACTGTGCAGCAACCCCACGTGTGGTGCTGCAGGAGCCCAGCCTGGGACCTAGCCTACGAGCTCCTGCCTGGCCTCACCAGGAGCTCCGCACCCTGGGCCGCAGGGCCCCATGTCGCCAGCAGAGGGCGACCGCCCCGCACGTCACCAGACGGAGGTGGGGGTGGGAAGCAGCCCCGCCTCCAGCTGCAGGGAGGACACAGGTGGCAGGAGAAGCGGACCTGCTGTCACATGTGGGGGGATGTCCGGGTGAGACGGCTGCACCTGAGCTGGGACAGCACAGGCACGCAGTTTCTGCGTGGCTGGGAGCCCTTATTACACTGCGGGTGGTTTGAGAGACTGCCCCGAATGCTTCCGCAGACACTCAACTGACCACTGAATGAAAAACGTTAACTTAAAGCCAGAGAGTGGCCCCTGCCCCCTGCACAGTGAGGCCCACCTTGGCCACGGGGCTCAGCTCCGCTCCCAGGTGGGCATGTCCCCAACTGTGATACCCCTCACCTGTCCCAGGGCACCTGCTCACCTGTCCTCATCTGAGACGTCCCCTCGCCTGTCCCTGTCGTGGGCTGTCCCCTCACCTGCCCTCCCGGGGCATCCCTGCCAACCTGTCCTCGTCTGAGACATCCCCTTCCCCCGTCCCTGCTGGAGGCTGTCCACCACCCCCCCCCGGACGTGCCCTGCCTTGTCCTGACTGCGCAGGGAGGTCGGGGCATGGGAACGGAGCACCTGGCGCACAGCCCCGTTCACACGCAGCGCTCCCTGCTGCCGCTGGAATGAGGCACGGCTCCGGGCACTGCTCCTCGGTGACGGGCCCTCAGGGCGATGAGGAGCGGTGAGGGGGTGGAGGGAGGCCTGGGGAACCGCGGGCACGCGGACTGCCACGAGCGTGCGCTCCGCGCCGCGTGACAAGCGTGCCCCCGGCTGGCGTGCCACGGGGCTGACGCGCCGCCCACCTCCACCTAGAGCGGGAGGGCCGTCCTCCCCGGGTGACCTCTGACCAGGGCGGGGGCGGGGGATGAGCCATGGGGTCCTCGTGTCCCCAGGCCAGGCTGGCATCCCACCTGCAGCGCTCAGAGCACCGTGCTCCAACTCGCTGGGCGGGCTCGCCTGGATCCGAGGAGACCCGGCCCTCAGGAGGAGGGGCCCAGGTGTCCTCTGAGGTCCCTCCTGCCCAGAGAGGGAGACTGCTGGGTCTCTGGACGTCCCCTCGCCTGCCCCGCCCTGTCCGACCCCGGGGCACGCGGCCAGGACCACCCAGGCTCTCGCTGAGCGCGCCCAGCTGGGGACCCAGGTGGGACACACAGCCCTCCCCGTGCCCGAGCCCCACGCCCGCCTCCTGGTGAGAAAGCGGGCCGTGAAGGGCCACAGGTCCGGGGCTGGGTGTCCGTTCCCTCACGGCGGGCCTGGAGCCCGGGCCTCAGGCGCCCACGGAAGCCACAGGGGCAGCGGACGTGCTCGTACTCACCGTGGTGATGTAGCGGGAGTGGAACTCTGATGCTTCCTTCAGGAATGCCAAGCCCGGGTGGGTGTTCACCACGTCCTGCACACAGGGGATGGGACACGGCCCTGGGATGTGCCGCCAGGCCCAGGGATAAGAACGCACGTGTCCACCAGCAACATCCAGGTTCACACATCCAGCCACAGAGCCGCTCACGCAGCATCACCCCAAACACACGGTTACAAGAAATCACATCAAATTAAAGGATCACACAGAATCATCTGGGCCACGAGCTAAGGAAGCAGACCACCTCTCGCGGCCGAGGGTAATAATCTGACACGTGTAAATGTATAAACGACCACCGTGGAAGTCCATCCCAGATTCTGAGAAAGAAAATTTGCGATATCCTCACTTAACAGAGCACTGCAGTCCCAGGAGCCCTTTAAGTCACTTCTATTCAAATGGTTTTGGTAACTTCGGTTCCTCCGTGTTCACGGGGAACACGCGGGTAACCGGGGACCACCTTCGATTCCCCTCTACGAGATGGAACATAGAGTGCTAAATAAAACCGTGTTTACACGAACCGGAACGGCGTTTGGAAACGAGCATTCTGCAAACCGCGACCGGCTTCTCATGGGCGGCCTGGCCCCGAGGGTGCTAACCCCTGTCCGGCTCCACGCTCCGCAGGCTCAGGTGTGGAGCTGTCCGCACCGCCCTGTCTCTCACGCGGGTTTGGAGGGCTGCGTGGAGCCAGCTTCGGGGAGCCCGCCCGCCTCCGGGGTGTAGACACGGGCGCGCCTGCGAGGAGGGGGCGACGCACCTGCAAGAAGGGGATGAAGTCCTCCTGCGCCAGGGAGCTGCCGCCGGGGCTCACGAGCAGGTGGACGAACTTGGCCGCGTCATCGTGACAGCTCTGGAGCATCCTGGGCGACAGAGGGCACCCCAGCTGCACTCCACGCGCGGCCACAGACCCCTCCCCAGACTCCGGGGTCGGGTGCTCCGTGAGGACGGGCACAGACGGATGGGGCCCCGCAAGGGACACGACGGACGTGCCGGGCACCCCCGGACATCCGTCTCAGTCCCTTACTGTCCTGGCCGCAGGAGCGCCGGCCAGTGGAGGCAGAGGCAAGGCCGGACCACCACTCCCGCCCCGGGACTCACTTTCTCCACATGGCGACGAACTTGTGCACGGAGACGGAGCCCGTGCGCTCTCCACCGGCGCCGCAGAAGAGCGGCCCCTTCCAGTAGAGCGGGCAGCCGCAGGCCTGTGGGGGGAAGCGTGGAGGACGACACAGGGTTAGCGCGCCCTGGGCCCCCGGCTGCCCGAGCCCCCGAGGCGGCCGGGAGCGCACCGCGTGCACACAGCCCGACCGCGCAGCCCAGTGCCTGCGCCAGCCCCAGGGGCCTCCAGGGAAAGGGGCAGCCTCTCCCAGCCGACACTCCGGAGACGCTGACGGAAATGGCGCTCCCGAGCCTGGGGCACAGACCACCCGCCCCAACTGGAGGTTGTCACGTCGGCAGCTGTACAGAGGCGACGAGCATGTCTCCAGCCCTGGATGTGCAGCACCTCCGATGACGCGTCGGGACGGCGTAAACGACAGAGAATGTCAGGAGACACTCGGGGTGCGACAAGGACGAGGCTGTGACCCGGGCACATGTCAGGGGTCGAGGCGACCGCAGGGCTGGCGTCCACAGCTGTCAGCGCAGGTGCTGACCGGGAAGCAGGCGGAAAACCCACGCTCTGAGCTTCCCTCCCGAAAACACAGAGGAAGAAGGGCGGAAACAACAAAGGCTGAGAGAAGAGAAAAAGAGAGCAGATACGCGACAGAGAAAGTCAACAAGGCCGAGTCAGCTCTTCGGAAAGCTTTTAAGCAAGTAATCACCCCTCAGCAACACTCCTGGAGAAGCAGAAAAAGGAAACGCGTGCTCCGCACATCAGCGGTCACTGCAGAGCCCACCAGCGCTTGACAGACAGGCAGTGGACACTCCCAACAACTGGAGGCCAGGAAACGTGACGACTGCAGGGCGGACTCCTTGACTAACGAACGTGTCTAACCAGAACTGACAACGGACATCCAGACGGTTCTACATTTCAAGAGGCCGAACCCGTGGCTTAAAACCTTCCCACTGAGAAAATCCTGGGCCCAGCTTTAGGGAAGAAATCACGTGGATGGTACCCACACTCTTCCAGAGAATGGAAACAAGGGACGTCTCCCAACTCCTGTTACGAGGCTGCACGTCCTGGACCCTGACACCTGTAAAGGGAGATCAGGCGCCCTCAGCTCCCAGGAACAGAGATGCCAACATCCCACACAAAGCCAGGCCGGCAAATTGAATCCAGCAGTGAAAAAAAAAGAAAAATCACAGAGAAACAAACAACAGGCCAGGAAACTTAAGAAGAGGAGGGAACACAGCACTGTAATCAGGGGCGTACACAGGAGCCCACGGCTCACATCTGCACGTGGGGACGCGCGCAGGCCGGCTCTGCCCTGAGCTGGAATGGGACAGGCTCCACCAGCAGAGATGGAGGAGGGGACGCTCCCGGCAGAGACAAAGGGGAAACTCTGGTAATGCAAAAATACGCGACGGTAGGGAGAATTCCGAAAGCGTTACGAAATACCAGAATAACACTAAGTCCCCTACACACGAACGAGTTCCATTCCGAGAGCACGTTCCGAAGTCCAGTTTGTCGGTAAGTCCAACAAAGTCAGCCTAGGTATCCAACTAACACAATCGGCTGCATAGTACTGTACTATAACAGGTTTCTAATACTTCCCATGCAAATGATACATAAAAAATAAACACAAAAGATGAAGAAAACATTTTTACAGTCCCTTGAAAAGCACAGCAGTCCAGTACAACAGCTGGCACACAGGGGCTGGCATTGAGGGAACAGGCAAGAAGAGTTACTGCCTGGAGGAGGGAGAGGAGGGGGGAGACAGTAGAGCTGAAGGGTCGTCAGTAGTACGAGGCGGAGGGCGAGCTGCAACGTCACTCTCACTCGTGCCTGACGCTGACAGTAAGCACGTTCGCATCTCTAAAAGTTCGCAACTTGGTGTGTACGTAGGGGACTTACTTGTAACAGAAAACCAGCAAAGCTGCGGGATCCCAGGACAATGTACAAAAATCAATTATATTTCCACACACTGGCAACAAGCAATTAGAAAATAAAAAATGTAACAGTGCCGTCTATGAACAGCATAAAAAACATGAACCTACAGGTAAACGTAACTGAAAGTGCAAGATCTCTACAAAGGGAAAGAGAAAGCGTGGCTGGGAGAAATCAAAGACCCCCCAAATGGAGGGACAGACCATACAGATTCCTGGACTGGACACTTAATGCTGTTGACACATTTTTGACTGGAGACATTACAGGCACAGGCGTTAGTTTCTGCAAAAATCCCCCGGACAATAATGTGTTAAAATGTCAACTCTTCCCCAGACGACCCACAGATTCAACGCAAAGCCAATGCACACCCAGCAAGGTGTGTTTTGCAGAAATCAACCAGCTCATTCAAAGCTCACGGGCAAACGCACACGACTGTCAAGCCTTCCTTGCAGTCACAGCAGTGAGGCTGTGCATCAGGGCAAAGAGGAAGGGACCAGTTTAGGGTCAGACGCCCACGTCCACCCACCAACTCAGCACAGACAAAGCTGGCGGCAGCTCCGAGGGAACAATTGTCTCTACTGAGAGCCCAGCTGGTCAGAGGAGCAACTCTACAAAACCATGAGGGAGGGAGCCCGGCCCCAAGCGTGGACGGTGAAACTCCAGAAGGAAATGCAGGAGATCGTCCCGATGCTGGAGAAGCAAAGGTTCCCTAAACGTGACTCAATCACCAAAACTCTGAAAGAGAAGGTGGGTAAACTGAACCGCTTCCCCACCAGAACTCCGGGGCAGACGTCGCCGAGGGCACAGAAACAAGCCGCAGACCAGGAAAACTTTCCCAGGGCGTTATCCTGACAAAGGGGCCACACCCAGACTGTAAACGAAGGCAGAGGTACAGGAAAAAAGGCAAAGGGCCCAAGAGAGCGACAGGCCCTGCAGGGAAAAGGGTGTGAACACGGCCAGGACTCCGGAGGGAGAGGCAGAGGAAAGGCGCAAACCGGATCCCCACAGAAGCCCACATGGGCGATGGGGCTCATAGGACCCGGCTCACGGGCATTGCCCGCGGGTCGGGGAGCTGCCGGCAGATGGTTTGGCAGGACGCGCCCCCTGACCCGAGCACTGGCCACGCATGCCCGTGGCCAGGGGCCGCCCTGGGGGACACCACCGGAGTCCACTCCTGCCCATCGCGCCAGGCCCAGAACGTGCCGGCGCCTTATCCTTGGCGCCCCAGGAGGGAGCTGCCCAGCTGCGCGGGAGCCGTGCGTCTGGACGCTCTGTGGCTTCTCGCACACGCTGGGGCGGGGACCACGGGGCGAGGCTCAGGCACAGTGCGGGCTGAAAGGCCTCTACTCCACTCAGGCGGGCGTGCGTCCTGGGCGACGGGCAGCAGAGGCCTCCTGCCAGGGATGCTGGCGCCAGGGCCCCGAGGGGCCTGTGTGAGTCAGGGCGTGGAGGACACTGGCCGCTCCCCGGGGTGGGAGGGCGCAGGCGGCAGGGACAGGGGAGCCAGGGGCCTCGGGCACCTTGCCTGGGGTGCTCGTGCGGGCACGTGAGAGCTCGCTGGGCGGACTCGGGCGATGGCACCGTCCTGTCCCACGGCCGTGCGTCCGTCCACCGCACAGCAGGAGCTGTGCCCTTGCCCGTGGGGTGACGCCTGCATTCACGTCCCCAGAACGAGCGGTGCCTGCACTTCCAAGCCCACCCACCCCCCAGGCAGCTGGAGAGCCCATCCTAACGCTTTCACTGTGACCTCCGTCCACCACCTCTCAGGACCGTCTGCAAACATTCTAAGGGAACTGGAAGCACCAACTCTGAAATCCAGAGGTACGAAGAAACGCGTTTAAAAGTATGGTAAAATGCCACCCTGAAGGGAAAAACACACGACAGGGTCAGGTTTTACAGGTCTGTAACGTCTATCTAGTGTACGTGACGGGAGACCCGGGCACACGCCGAGGCCCGCGTCACCCCGTCAGGAGCAGCCCTGCAGTGACCCCGATCCCCGCCCTCACGCCCCTTACGGCACCCCCCGACGCCCGTGCACACACAGAGCTCCCCGTCCGTCCACACAGCCTGTCCTGAGCACGGCAGCATCTGGCCGGGGCCTGGGGTCTGGCTGTGCTCACGGGGCACAGGGCATCTGACGTCCCCCGTGCAGGACTCTGTGTGCAGGCCGTGCGCAGGTGCGCGCTGGCCTTTGCCCAGTTCCCGGTCAGGCGCCCCGTGGGGTCCCCTAAGGGAGGGAGCCCCAGAGCAGCTGTGCTCCCACCACGAACACCTGGTGCCAGGAGCGTCTCCTGCTCTGATATTTGGCCTCTGCCCCCGGCTCCTGACACGGAGCCCCCAAGTCCCTTGGAATCTCCTGGGGGGACGGGAGCCTGTTTGGTCATGGATGGGGCTGTCCTTAAAGAGCCCACGCCATGGTTACTGAGCTAGAACTTTCAGCCCCCCGGCATTCTCTGCAGAGGGCGAGGGCAGCGGTGGAGGGAAGCCTCGATCATGCCCATGGGATGAAACCTCTGAAACATCCCCTAAGGGAGCAGGTTCAGGGGCCTTCCAAGTTAGGGAACAAATCCGCCGTACCAGGACAGAGATGCACCCCAACTCCATGGGGACAGACTGCTGCACTGGGGAGCCCCCGACGCCTCACCCTGATGCCTCTTCACCAGGCTGCTCACCTGTACCCCTCATCATACCCTTCATAAGGAACCCTTTATAATGAACTGGTGTTTCCCTGAGTCCCGCGGGCTGCTGAGCAAACTGCGGAACTCGAGAGGGGGTCGTGGGAACCCCCGGAATCCAGAGCTGGTCAGACGGACACACAGGTGACAGCCTCAGACTCGGGCCTGGCGTGTGAAATGAGGGCGGCCCTGTGGGTTCAGCACCCCCCCCACCCCCGTGCTGACTCCAGGCAGAAGGGCTCAGAACTGGACGAACTGCAGGACGCCCAGATCAAAGCCCACACGTGTGCCGAAAGAGGCCTCCGTGCGCAGGGAAAGGAAGCAGAGACTGTCCTTTTCACGGATCAGCTGTTTGCCCCTTTCTGTGTTCAGAGAAGCGGGTCCACTGATCTCGGGCGCGCAGGCTCCCGAGAAGCATGTCTCCGGCAAGAACAAGGGCCGTGTCGCGATGACGAGAGAGAAGAAGGGGTGTGAGGGCGGA